ACAAGGACCAAGTAGCAACAGTAAGAACTGACCACGGAACAACAGACTGGTTTAAGATTGGGAAAGGCGTACGGCAAGGCTGCATCCTCTCACCCAACCTTTTAAACTTGTATGCAGAACACATCATGCGATGTGCGTGGCTGGATGAATGCAAAGCTGGGGTGAAAATTGCTGGAAGAAACATTAACAACCTCAGATATGCAGATGACACCACTCTGATGGCCGAAAAGCGAGGAGGAGCTGAGGAGCCTTCTAATCAAGGTGAAAGAAGAAAGCGCAAAAGCTGGGTTGCAGCTAAACATAAAAAAACCAAGATTATGGCAACAAGAATGATTGACAACTGGAAAATAGAGGGAGAAAACATGGAGGCCGTGACAGACTTTGTATTTCTAGGTGCAAAGATTACTGCAGATGCAGACTATGGCCAGGAAATCAGAAGACGCTTACTTCTTGGGAGGAGAGCAATGTCCAATCTCAATAAAATAGTAAAGAGCAGAGACATCAGACTGGCAACAAAGATCCGCCTAGTCAAAGCCATGGTATTCCCTGTAGTAACCTACGGATGTGAGAGCTGGACCTTAGGGAAGGCTGAGCGAAGGAAGATCGATGCTTTTGAGCTGTGGTGTTGGAGGAAAGTTCTGAGAGTGCCTTGGGCTGTGAGAAGATCCAACCAGTCCATCCTCCAGGAAATAAAGCCCGACTGCTCATTGGAGGGAAGGATACTAGAGACAAAGTTGAAGTACTTTGGCCACATCATGAGGAGACAGCAAAGCCTAGAGAAGACTATGATGCTGGGGAAAGTGGAAGGTAAAAGGAAGAGGGGCCGACCAAGGGCAAGATGGATGGATGGCATCCTTGAAGTGACTGGACTGACCTTGAAGGAGCTGGGGGTGGTGACAGCGACAGGGAGCTCTGGCGTGGGCTGGTCCATGAGGTCACAAAGAGTCGGAGACGACTGAACGAATGAACAACAATAGTTCACCTACAATCAAAGAGCATTCTGAACTCCACCAATGATGGAATTGAACCAAATATGGCACACAGAACTCCCACGACAAACAGAAAATATATATCAGTGATTGCTTGGGGGGGGGGGGGGGGGGCAAAATACCGTTTGCTTACCGTTGAAAATTACCTAGGGCCACTTCTGCAACATCAACTCTAATGATGCCACTTTCTTGAGGTCAGGAACTATAAAATTGTATAATCTCCTGCACAAGGATCTTAACACTGTGTTGGCCTTCATCGGCACATCAAACTCTGCATTTGATCATTCAGGGTTATTTCATAAACTGCACAAATACACAGATAAGCTGTGAAAAAGACAGTTGATTAGGAGCTGCAGTCCATCCTATCTCTTTAACCATACATGTTTACATTTCCATGTTGAAATGTAAGACATGTATGTTAAATGTATATGTATAACAAGCCACCTTGTCTCTCTCCTGAGGAATCTGTACAAGGACCAAGTAGCAACAGTCAGATCTGACCACGGAACAACAGACTGGTTCAAGATTGGGAAAGGCGTACGGCAAGGCTGCATCCTCTCACCCAACCTTTTTAACTTGTATGCAGAACACATCATGCGATGTGCGGGGCTGGATGAATGCAAGCTGGGGTGAAAATTGCTGGAAGAAACATTAACAACCTCAGATATGCAGATGACACCACTCTGATGACCGAAAGCGAGGAGGAGCTGAGGAGCCTTCTAATCAAGGTGAAAGAAGAAAGCGCAAAAGATGGGTTGCAGCTAAACATAAAAAAAACCAAGATTATGGCAACAAGAATGATTGACAACTGGAAAATAGAGGGAGAAACGTGGAGGCCGTGACAGACTTTGTATTTCTAGGCGCAAAGATTCAGACTGAAATTGCACTCATAGTGAGTCGGCTGAGCCGTCCATTCACCAATAGCAGAGGAAACAGCGAAAGGGAGATAGGCAAAAAGTTTCTACAACAATAGTGCAGTAGTATAGGAGTACAATATCATATTCACCACTGCAAATCAAAGAAATGGTGTATCCTTTTGTTAAATGGCATGTAGTTATTGGTATGCTTATCCAGAAATTTTTCATAAAACTGTTTTTAAAAATCCAAGGGTATGAAAAACATAAAATATGTTGAGTGTTTTTATTTGTCCAAACTGAGCATTTTAAGTGTGTGTTTCCAAATTGCATGAAATCTGAAAACAGGCAGAAATTTCAAAGTTTATTTTTCTCTCTTCAGTTTCATGCAATAGATGTTCTAAGAGCAAGACCATTCTTCTTGCAAAAAATTCCAAGATTATATACAAAAATTTTTTCACAGAAATAGAAAATTGGCTGCTATTCTTTGGACCCTTACAATTAATTGTGAACAGCTTGTTTGAAATAGCAGGTGTTGTTTCACTAAAAGACCTCTAGTTGCTTCTACAGTCTCAACTGCTCATATAGATACAATATTCAATACTGTGCAACGTTGAGTTTCTTTCTATGCACAATGCACAAGAACCCTAGATTTCACATTAGGAGGATGAGATTAAGGATTAGGAAATTGCCTAAGATAATTTAGCAAATTCACAACAGATACTCTAAAGTGGATTAGTCACTCTGCTGGGTCACTCTAGACCACTGCATCCCCTTAGCTCAATATTGAAACCTTTAAGAAACCAACAACTGAACAAAAATTGCCGGTAACTTTCTATCACTGTGCTATAGAGAGGGTCCTAACCTACTGCATCTGTGCATGGTTTGGTAACTGCACCATGGCAGATAGGAAGGCGCTCCAAAGGATCGTCACTTCTTCACAGAGTATCATTGGTTGCCTCTACCCTCTTTGGAAAATCCTGCAAATTTCTTGGGAAGACAAGCGGACAAATGTCAGCATGCTGTAAGAAGCAAAGACCACCAGCATTGAAACGATGGTCCTCCACCATCAACTCCGCTGGACCGGCCACGTTGTCTGGATGCCCGACCACTGTCTCCCAAAGCAGTTGCTCTACTCTGAACTTAAGAACGGAAAACGGAATGTTGGTGGGCAGGAAAAAAGATTTAAAGATGGGCTCAAAGCCAACCTTAAAAACTCTGGCATAGACACTGAGAACTGGGAAGCCCTGGCCCTCAAGCATTCCAGCTGGAGGTCAGCTGTGACCAGCAGTGCTGTAGAATTTGAAGAGGCACAAATGGAGGGTGAAAGAGAGAAACATGCCAAAAGGAAGGCGCATCAAGCCAACCCCGACCGGGACTGTCTTCCACCTGGAAACCAATGACCACATTGCGGGAGAAGATGCAGATCAAGAATAGGGCTCCACCCATGGTCACTGCCAGTACACTGATCATGGAAGACTATCCTACTCAGACAAGAAGGGATCACTTAATGAAAATGACCCTCTTTGGAAGAACTTTATCGGTCCCAAGTGCATTCTTGGAAATCCATCTCAGCCGACATATTTGTTTTTAAAAGTATTACCATCTGGCAAATGGTACAGAGTGACAAACAAACTGAGAGACAACTTTTATCCAAGAGCTGTAACTATACTGAACTCAATTGCTTCGCATTGATGTGGCATTAGAGGCTGTGTGGTGGTGGTGGGAGTGTGGAGGGATGGGTGTGTTGTTTTGTGGCGTGTGCTGGGGAAAACATTTAATTTCATTGTACAATGATAATAAAGTTGTTCTATGGGAGTCACAAAAATTTTGGTAACAGCAAAGGCTTACACAAATCTGTTGGCAACAATCTGCGGTGCTTACAATAGATTCTGCAGAAAATGCTTCAGCTGTATTCTGCAAAATGGAAAATCAGCCTACTTAATAAGCCTTGCAAATGCTGATTTATTATCAGTAAATCTTTGTTTTTTATTCCTCTTTTATCTATATAAATAAAAATGTAATGTTCATTTGTGAGATTAACAGAACTCAAAAACCAGTGGGCGAATTGACACTAAATTTGAACAGCATACACCTAACAACCCAATGTATGTCCTTCACTTGAAATTTTTTTGATTTTGGGAGTTGTAGTTGCTGGGATTTATCATTCACCTACAATCAAAGAGCATTCTGAACTCCATTAATGATGGAAATGAACCAAACCTGGCACACAGAACTCCCATGACCAACAGAAAATACTGGAAGGGTTTGGTGGGCATTGACCTTGAGTTTGGGAGTTGTAGTTCACCTACATCCAGAGAGCACTGTGGACTCAAACAATGATGGATCTGGACCAAACTTGCACAAATATTCCATATGCCCAAATATGAACACAGATGGAGTTTGGGGGAAATAGACCTTGACATTTGGGAGTTGTAGTTACTGGGATTTATAGTTCACCTACAAGGGCATTCTGAACCACACCAATGAGAGAATTGGGGCAAATTCCCCACACAGAACCCCCATGACCAACAGAAAATACTTAAGGCCATCCAGTCCAACTCCCTTCATCAGGGCAAGAAAACGTAATCAAAGTCCTCCTGACAAAGAGCCATCCAGCCATAGATATAGATATAGATATGATTCACACACACAGAGATATAGTGTCATAGATTTGAAAGGGACCCCTAAAGAAGGACAATTATATGTTGCATGTTCCAGAGTAGGCAAAGCACATCAACAATGACAAACAAGAAAAAATACTTCTTACTCACAAGCATAAATAAATTACATATATTAGAAACCAAGACTTTCTCATTACTTTATTTTCCAGATCACCAGACTGGGCCACAGCAACTCGTGACAGGGGACGGCTAGTATACCTAAATATCTGGAGTCACATGAACATTTCTCAGGTGGGAAAGGGTCATGAGTGGAAAACGTTTAAGAAGCCCAACTCTAGACTAGCCCAAGTTCCTCTCACATCCTGAATTGCCCATCATCTTATTCATAAATAATATCGCAATATTCATTCATAATATTCAATATAATATTCATAAATAATATCCCAAGACATGCAACAAATTCCATACGGTCAATTCTTTCATGTAGTCTCTCCTTGCTTCACTGCAACACCATTGTCATTTTTCTTTCTTACCTGTCAAATACTACTGCAGCATAGGCTCGTTCTGCAAAAATTACATCTCCAGCCCAAAATTCCTTGGTTGTCTTCAGCCCCCTGCCTTTGCCATCCGTGTCAAACACCTCCACTGTCTCCATGCCTCCTTTGTTTCCTCAGGCTATCCAAGCTTGTAACACAGGACAATTCCAAGTGGCTCAAATCTCTTATCACTTCTGCTCTTTAAAGCTTTCAAAGGACCACTCCTCTAAATGGGCTGTCTCTGTGCACCTCCCAACTAGCACTGCAGTTCCATAGGGAAAAGGGGGGCATTATTCAGGTTGCCAAGGTGGCTTTATAGGGGATGGGGGTTAGAGAAGAAAAAGGTGAGCTACAGCTATCCATGGTAAGAGTTTGCTTCATTAGGAAAATGAAGAAACAACCTTCTTTCCAAAATTCAGCATTCTTGTGCTTCCAACACAACATTTAGTTTACACTCTCCTATTGGGAAGATAATGCATGTTCTTGGGAAGTATTTTTAGAAACCACATGCTTCTGCCTGTCAGGGGCCAACAGCTGAGAAAGTGCTAAGTAGCATGGCTGGTATGCAACACGCAGGAAGAGTCTATGCTATCTGCTTTTTAAAAAAAAGAACTGAAACAATGCTACGTTTAGTTGACACAAAAGACTTCTCTGTGTGGCTGTATTGTGGAAGATCACAGACTGAAAATATACTCTTTGCAGCACAGAAGTTGCTCACAGGACACCAACTGAAACGATGGTAGAAGCTGGGTTGTTGTAGGTTTTTCGGACTATATGACCATGTTCTAGAGGCTTTTCTCCTGACGTTTCGCCTGCATCTATGGCAAGCATCCTCAGAGGTAGTGCCATAGATGCTTGCCATAGATGCAGGCGAAACGTCAGGAGAAATGCCTCTAGAACATGGACATACAACAACCCAGTGATTCCAACCATGAAAGCCTTCGACAATACGATGGTAGAAGCTGGTAGAAGGAGTTCGAAGGTTTCAGAGAAGTCCAGCACCACCTTTTGAAGCAGACGTGACAATGTCAGGAGAAAATGCTTCTAGAAGGTAGCCATACAGCCCGAAAAACCGGCCATGAAAGCCTTTGACAATACGATGGTAGAAGCTGGTGGAAGGAGTTCGAAGATTTCAGAGAAGTCTGGCACCACCTTCTGAAGCAGACGTGACAACGTCAGGAGAAAATGCTTCTAGAACATAGCCATGCAGCTCAAAAAACCTACAACAACCCAGACGTGACATCTTTGCTCATCTCGTGGGTAAATGCTAGGTTATTCTCAAGCCAATAGGAACCCGTCCAAGAGTGTAGGTAAGTCTTGTGTGCTAAAATAAAAATGAAAAAGAAGATTTTGCATCACATTAAGCCAAATTCTGTGTTCTGCAATGGGTAGATTCCACAGCCTAGTTGTGAAAATTAAACAAATTTGATTGGTTAATGTTGCTGTTGTCGTCGTCGTCGTTGTTGTTATTTCCCTGAAGGGGAAAACCTTTACCTTTACCTAATTTCTCTAATTACAGCTAAAGCTGTTTTCGAACTGCTTAGGTAAACAATGAGCAGGGCTGACAGTCGACTGCTCACGCCAACCCAGGGCTTCGAACTTGCAACCTTTCAGTTGACAGATCTTCTAGTTGCTGGTGATTTATCAGCTGTGCTAACCCCTCCCCCCTTTCCCCATTCTGCACCTTATAAGCAATTAATTTTCTGGGTTGTTGTAGGTTTTATGGGCTATATGGCCATGTTCTAGAAGCATTCTCTCCTGACATTTTTCCTGCATCTATGGCAAGCATCTGCATCTATGGCAAACCTACAACAACCCAGTGATTCCAGCCATGAAAGCCGACGACAATACAATCAATTCTCTATTCCTCTTTCCTAGAACGGTACAACGATGTTTTTAAGACCAGTCTTTACATCATCCCTCTTGCATTACCTTACAGCATGGATGAACCTGTGGCCTTCCAGATGTTGTCAAACTGCGAAACTTATAATATCAGATTACTGTATATACTCAAGTATAAGCCTAGTTTTTCAGTCCTTTTTTTAGGCTGAAAAAGTCCCTCTCGGCTTATACTCAAGTCAAGGTTATTTATTATTTTATTCTGTTGTTATTATTATAATCATTATTATTATTATTATTATTATTATTATTATTATTATTACATTTGTTATTTTACTTTATTATTGTTGTTATTATTACATTTATTGTTTTACTCTATTATTATTATTGTGTTTATTATTTTACTCTATTATTGGAAGGATACTTAAGCACATTTACATTGAAGGTGAGAATAATGGTTTAATCAGAGTTGGACAGTCATAACTTATATTACAATTCTATGTAAATATTCAAAAACATTTAATCTACTGATGCCTCAATTAACGTAATTGCATTGGTATCTATGTTTATTTTGAAATTGATCAGTAGCTGCTGCATTTCCCACTCTCGACTTATACTTGTGTCAATACGTTTTCCCAGTTTTTTATGGTAAAATTAGGTGCCTCGGCTTATATTCGGGTCGGCTTATATTCGAGTATATATGGTACTGATTGTGCTGCTCCAGTTTTTCATTTATATATATTTGGAAGAAATCCCAGTTTAAAAAGGAGAAAATGGAAGAGACACTGCAAATTGGAATAACTATTTATTTATCGTGTCAGGGGCAGCCAGACAATTGTGTTACATTTCTAACAGAACAAAACAAACAGACAGACAGACAAAACACAAAGTTTGCAAGCTTGGTAGTTGATTAAATGTCTTTTGACCAGTAGCTGGCCACTTGGAGTGCCTCTGGTGTTGCCGCAAGAAGGTCCTCCCTTGTGCATGTGGCAGGGCTCAGGTTGCATTGCAGCAGGTGGTCAGTGGTTTGCTCTTCTCCACACTCGCATGTCGTGGATTCCACTTGGTAGCCCCATTTCTTAAGATTGGCTCTGCATCTTGTGGTGCCAGAGCGCAGTCTGTTCAGCGCCTTCCAAGTCACCCAGTTTCCTGTGTGCCCAGGAGGGAGTCTCTCATTTGATATCAGCCATTAGTTGAGGTTCTGGGTTTGAGCCTGCCACTTTTGGACTCTCGCTTGCTGAGGTGTTCCAGCGAGTGTCTCTGTAGATCTTAGAAAACTATTTCTTGATTTAAGTCGTTGACATGCTGGCTAATACCCAAACAAGGGATGAGCTGGAGATGTCACTGCCTTGGTCCTTTCACTATTGGCTGCTACTTCCCGGCGGATGTCAGGTGGTGCAATACCGGCTAAGCAGTGTAATTTCTCCAGTGGTGTAGGGCACAGACACCCCGTGATAATGCGGCATGTCTCATTAAGAGCCACATCTACTGTTTTAGTGTGGTGAGATGTGTTCCACACTGGGCATGTGTACTCAGCAGCAGAGTAGCATAGCGCAAGGGCAGATGTCTTCACTGTGTCTGGTTGTGATCCCCAGGTTGTGCCAGTCAGCTTTCGTATGATATTGTTTCTAGCACCCACTTTTTGCGTGATGTTCAGGCAGTGCTTCTTGTAGGTCAGAGCACGGTCCAGAGTGACTCCCAGGTATTTGGGTGCTGCAATGCTCCAGTGGGATTCCTTCCCAGGTAATCCTCAGAGCTCGGGATGCTTGTCTGTTCTTAAGATGAAAGGCACATGTCTGTGTTTTAGATGGATCAGGGATCAGCTGGTTTTCCCTGTAGTAGGCGGTAAGGGCACCTAGAGCTTCGGAGAGCTTCAGTTCTACCATCTCAAAGCTCCCTGCTTTGGAATAACTGCTTGCCGAAAATAATTGAAAAACAGAAGGTTGTTAAATGCCGGCCAGGGTACTGGCTTCAACACAAATCACAGCTACAAGACAAAGCCTGGACTTGACCTGTTGGAGAAGAGGTGAGCTTTATTACTGAATTTGTCTAGCATACCACTCGTAGAAACACATTCCACTAATTTAAGACATTAATTGCATTCTTATCTCGGATCAGAGAGAACTCAGTAAAATAGCTCCATCATGTGGTGAAGAATGAGTCAGCCACCGTTCTAAAAATCACTAAGAACGTCAGAATCTGTCATGTCATAACTTGAAATGGCTTTGCTCTGCTGAACAAGAATGGTATTGCAAAAAGAGAGAAAAAAGAAGTAACACTGACCCCAATTTAACTAAGTTTATTGTGACCACCAAAAGCAAATTGGGGTTGTTAATTGTAACTAGCTAGAGTCCCACTGGGTTGAATTAAACACAATTTCTCCTATAAATATAGGAAGAACACGTTTTAACTAGACCAATGTGGGAATGTCGTGGATGTAGTGTACCTGGATTTCAGTAAGGCCTTCGACAATGTCTCCCATGAACTTCTGGCAAACAAACTAGTCCAATGTGGGCTAGGTAAATCTACGGTTAGGTGGATCTGTAATTGGTTAAGCGGACGAACCCAGAGGGTGCTCACCAATGCTTCCTCTTCATCCTGGAAAGAAGTGACAAGTGGAGTGCCGCAGGGTTCCGTCCTGGGCCCGGTCCTGTTCAACATCTTTATTAATGACTTAGATGAAGGGTTAGAAAGGCATGATCATCAAGTTTGCAGACAACACCAAATTGGGAGGGATAGCCAATATTCCAGAGGACAGGAGCAGAATTCAAAAAGATTTTGACAGATTAGAGAGATGGGCCAAACTAATAAAATGAAGTTCAACAGTGACAAATGCAAGATACTCCACTTAGGCAGAAAAAATGAAATGCAAAGATACAGAGCAGTGTGAAAAAGATCTTGGAGTCCTCGTGGACAACAAGTTAAACATGAGCCAACAATGTGATGTCGTGGCAAAAAAAGCCAATGGGATTTTGGCCTGCATCAATAGGAGCATAGTGTCTAGATCCAGGGAAATCATGCTACCCCTCTATTCTGCCTTGGTTAGACCACACCTGGAACATTGTGTCTAATTCTGGACACAAGAATTGAAGACAGATGTTGACAAGCTGGAATGTGTCCAGAGGATGACGACTAAAATGATCAAGGGTCTGGCTTAAAGAGATGGGCATGTTTTGCCTGAAGAAGAGAAAGCTGAGAGTAGACATAGAATCATAGAATCATAGAATCAAAGAGTTGGAAGAGACCTCATGGGCCATCCAGTCCAACCCCCTGCCAAGAAGCAGGAATATTGCATTCAAATCACCCCTGACAGATGGCCATCCAGCCTCTGTTTAAAGGCTTCCAAAGAAGGAGCCTCCACCACACTTCGGGGCAGAGAGTTCCACTGCTGAACGGCTCTCACAGTCAGG